CAAAAAGCTCTAAAGGGAAGGAGGGGAGCGGGACCTCGGAGCAGCGCATGTATGTGCGTGTGTCTGCGTGCGTGTGTTTGCGTACTTATGCACACACACAGCTATGCATATACATTAGAGGAACTTTAAACTCTGATAGTTACCAATTCATAAAGGGGTCATTTAGTCAGCACAAACGGGTGCTATAGGGACAAAGCATTTTTTTATAATCTAAAAGTTTACTTAGTTGAGTGTTGGACAATTCTGGAGAAAAACCCGGTGAAGCATTCTCTCGCAGAACTCTCCTATAAATATTGCATTCAGTAGCTGAGGCTTTAGAGTATGTTTCTCATTGTCTTTTAAAGCGCCTGTGACATTGGGTTTTCTTTCCTTCTTTCTTTCCTCTCTCCCTTTCTTTCTTACTCTCTTTCTTTCTTTCTTCTTGGTAAGACAGATGATGATTTCCAAGAGGCACATGCATTAGCCTTTTTCCTAGTTTTCCAACAATCGTTACAAAGATATGGGCACCAAGCTTTTCTCTTTTCTTTTTTTTTTTTCCTTTTTTTTTGGTTTTTTTTTGGATGTATTGAGCTGCTTGTTATTTAAAGTGTTGAGGACTAGCGCCTAGTGAAGTGAATCAGATCAGGGCAGATCCAGTGGTAAAGGGAGGAAATGAACTTTCAGACACTTATTAATACGTGCGTAAGGTCAGAAAAATGGAGTCGAGAGGATGTTTGAGAAAAGCCTCAAACTCCAAATAGGTTTACTAAAAAAAAAAAAAAAAAAAAAAAAAAAAAAAGTTACCACGCAAACCTTACCACTATGTATATATGTTTAATATTTGTCCTTTGAAATGCAGAAATAGTTTCAATGTTTTCTTTGTCTATTTTTCTTTTTTTTTTTTTAAATGCTACCCAGGGAAATATTTTCATATCATTTTTAAGTGGCCTGCCTCAATGTATATTTATTTCTTTTAAAGCAAACAGGTTATGGAAACTGTTTTTCTGTAGCTTTAAATGAGTAGGTGAACAAAATCTATATGGGATGTAATTTTTTTTTTTTTTGGTTCAGTCTCTTTAAAAATACTTTGTTTTGGTACATTTGGATGTGCTTGTGGGGAAAAATAAAAACGCAGAGATCCTTATATATTTATGTTAAAGTAATATTTTATTATCTACATAAAACAGAAATGCACAATACCTTCATAGTTTGTTCTAATTATTGAAATATCTTTATTTTATTTTTAAAGATAGCACAGATTTGCGTAGTTCTTAAGATTTGGAGGGAGAACACCCCGGTACTTTTACTGAGTTGAGTTCTGTGTAAAAGCACCCGCCATTCCTTTATATTTCGTGGAGTTTTCGGAATAAATCTGATGCCTATACCGAGAGGTTCCACGTTCGTAACCCCCGGGGTCTCGGAGGAGAGCCTGGGGAGCTGCCTTCACGGGGGCTCCCGGCGGCCGAAGCGCAGGGGTGCGTTTCGCAGCAGGGATTTCTGTGCGGGCAGGGGTGTCCTGCCCGGGTTGATGCTGGCGGGGGGGATCTGCTCCTCGAGTTGGCGGCGCGTTCCGGCGGAAGGCGCGGGGGAGAGGAGGCTCTCCTCGCCCCCTTCCCTTTTGGGAATTGAAGGTCTGACTCCTTTAAAAAAAAAAGGGGGGGGGGGGGGGAATAAAAAAAATTCCCCCAAACCAAAAAGGCGGGGCTTAGTTTTGGGGAGTACTGTGCAAAAGAGGGAGGACGGGTCCGGCTGCCTGGC